CACCCAGGTACTAAAAACACAGTATAACTGAAACTGGAGGAGTTTAATCTTCAAATATCATTTAACAAAGATCAGAATGGAAAGCAATATGGCTTTAAAGGGACTGTAGAAAGTTTTTTTTCTAACATAAATGCTAGCTTATTACTGAAATTTCTTTGATTCTTACTCCTATCATATGCCTGAGGAATCTTTCCTGATCCTACTAAGATGACCTCTGGTGTTTCAAGGAGAAGCTGACCTCTTGGCAAGAAATGTAACTGTTGGCAGCCAAGACACAGAATAGACATGACACTGTCATTAGATGTCACTGGTCTACTTTATTGCCAGAATACAGGAATCTCCCAGGCAAAACCAAGCTAAGGACCTGGAACAAGACACTGGACGAACGCTGCCCTCAAATGCTAACAATAACCACACATCAGATTGGATTTAGGAAAGGAGAATGGTCGGGGTGCCTGGGTGGCTCAGTCGTTGAGCATCTGCCTTCAGCTCAGGTCATGATCCCAGGGTCCTGGGATCGAGTCCCACATCAGGCTCCCTGCTCTGCGGGAAGCCTGCTTCTCCCTCTCCCACTCTCCGTGCTTATGTTCCCTCTCTCGCTGTCTCTCTCTCTGTTAAAAAATAAATGAAATCTTAAAAAAAAAAAAAAAAGAAAGAAAGGAGAATGGTCAAATGTTTATGACTAAGAGGACTGGTTTGGAAAACAAGTAAAGGCTAAATAAATGGAACTAACTTGAATTCATTCATCCTTTCAAAAACTATGGATGACCTGGGGCACCCGGGTGGCTCAGAGGGTTAAGCGTCCCACTCTTGGATTTCGGCTCAGGTCATGATCTCAGGATTGTGAGACTGAGCCCCGCGTCCAGCTCTGCACTGAGCATGGAGTCTGCTTGGGATTCTCTCTTTCCCTCTCCCTCTCCACTGCCCCCCTCCCAAGCTCTCTTGCGCGCGCATGATCTCTCTCAAAAAACAAAAACAAAAAACTACAGATGACCTTTGAACAATGCAGAGGTTAGAGGCACCAACCAACTCCCCATATCCCCAGCAGTCCAAAATCCTCAGATAACTTTTAACTCCCCAAAAACTTAACTACTAATAACTACTGTTGACCAGAAGCCTTACTGATGACATAGTCTATTAATACATATTTTGTATGTTATTCTTACAATAAAGTAAACTGGAGAAAAAAATGTTATTAAGAAAATCATAAGGAAAATACATGTATAGTGCTGTACCGTAAAAAATCCCCATATAAATGGACCCACACAGTTCAAACCCATGTTGTTCAGGGTCAACTGTATTTGAGCGCCCACTCTATGCCAGGCCTATTCTAGGCACTGGGGATATAGCAACGAACAAGACAAAGCCTCTGCCCTCATGAAGCTTACTATCGAACCCAAAAAACAAGTGAACAAATATGCAGGGAAGAATCACCTAAGTCAAGGCCTTCTTGTCCAGAAAGCAGTAGAGAGCAGTACAACAGTGAAACAAGGGCCAGATTGTGATAGACTTTGCAGGCCTGCATTAAAAAGTTTGGACTTTAGGGGCGCCTGGGTGGCTCAGTCATTAAGCGTCTGCCTTCGGCTCAGGTCATGATCTCAGGGTCCTGGGATCGACCCCGCCATCGGGCTCCCTGCTCAGCAGGAAGCCTGTTTCTCCCTCTCCCACTCCCCCTGCTTGTGTTCCCTCTCTCGCTCTGTCTCTCTCTGTCAAATAAATAAATAAAATCTGTAAAAAAAAAAGTTTGGACTTTATTCTAAGTCAAAATAGAAATCATCAAAGAATTTTAAAAATGGATAACAGGATCTGAGATATTTTTTAAAGATGACTCTGCCTGCTACATACAGAATAGACGGAATTAGAAGCAGAGAGACCAGTTAAGGAGAGATACTACAAAAGCCTAGGCCAGAGCCAATCGAAGCCTTAGCTAGTTTGGCTTGAACTAGTTTTGATGATAAGCTAATCAGTTGGACATATTGAGTAAGAGCCATCAGATTCATTTAAAATGAGGATAACAGTTCCACTTTCTCAATTATTTTGACCGGTAAAGACAAACTTTTCAATTTAAAAACAAGACTTCACTAAAACTAAATCTTGTGTACTTTTAATGTAGCTACATGATTTAGATAAAAGGTCATTAAGGTTCATGCTAATTTTACTGCAACAAGGACATTTGTTAAGCATAGTAATGCAAATCTAGTTAAATACATATTCTGGTGAAAGAATCTGACCATGAAAAATCATAATCTGAAGAACTAAGTTTTGCATGGTTGCATTTTTAATGATTTAAAATTTTTTGTTTTAAGAATGGCAACTGACTTTTAACGTGGCCTGAATGGTCCCCATTATGTTCAATATTATTAAGATAAGGTGCAAATGATATTTAAAACACTTTGGCTTTCTCTGTAAATAAATACCTTAAAATTTATAGACAATCTAACTTCTTTGATCTGAAAACTAAAGAGACAGTAAGCAATTAGTTCGCATTTAAACCTGGATGGATCAGAATCCAGAGTCTGGATGGGCCAAGAAAAGATCCATTTCACCTCCCAAGTACAGTATAGGTTTAGCCAACAGAATGTTGAAACCATTCACAACTACTTGGGAGTTTCAGTGAATGAAGATGCTGCTATGTGGTTCAGGGACAGTAACAGCAGTAAAATGTACTGAAGTGATAGAGAAGGAACAGACTTTACAAAAATACCAGAGATGATGCTCTTTTTTTTTTTTCTTTCCCATTCCCCTTAACCATCTTAAAATGAAAACTAAATTACTACCACTTTTACCTTAAAAAGTGCGTTTCCTGATAAATCCATGTGTTAGACCAATTTATTCTTATTTATTTATTTATTAAGATTTTATTTATTAATTTATTTGTCAGAGAGAGCACAAACAGGGAGAGGGGCAGGCCGAGGGAGAAGCAGGCTCCCCACTGAGCAAGGAGCCCCATGTGGGGCTTGATCCCAGGACCCTGGGATCATGACCTAAGCCGAAGGCAAACGCTTAACCAACTGAGCCACCCAGGCATCCCGTATTTTTTTATTTATTAAAATAGCCTTGGTCACATTTATGTTTACCCAGCATTTAAAGTGGTATAGCTAGGCTAGCAGCTGCCAAATATTTACATTAAATCTCCTAATGCTTCAAACATTTCCCCCCAAAATACCAGCTTTTAATTTAATTAAAATTACATATTTCACATTAAGTATAATTCTAATATTTTTAAATGTGAAAAAAATTATATCTATGGTAACTGGCCTAAAAGCTTTTGGAACAAACCTTTTCAAGGAAAATGTCTTCTTTAAAAACTAAGGCTTTCTTTTAGGTCAGGTTCTCCCTGTGATCAAAAAGCTCACGCATGCACACTTTTCTCAACTCTCCTATTTGCTTTCATATCTGCAGAACATGGCTTTTAATTTTTCTAACAAATTTTGAGTTCTTTTATGTATTTCTAAATAATACTGTTAACATTTTAACTTAAATGCCCTAAGCCTGAACAATATATCTTACATATATATAGCATTTCTATTTAGATGTTTCACAGACTAATTATATGTAATTGCTTTCTATATTCAAAAGTAAAACCCAAACATAGGATTTTTGCTTTCAGAAAATTAGTATTGCAATTACTGTACTATAAAACTATTTTTTTACACAGTTAAGGATCAGCTTCTTAAGTGGCTCATCTACTCACTTTCCCTACCTTATTCCAAATGCATCAGGTATGAATCGTATGTTAAGTAACACCTTCCTGAACTTTGTCAAGGAAATCCATGCAAAATACAGATTAAGATATAGTTAAAAATAAAGACTAAAATTCACAACTGCAAACCAAAAAGTAAACTGTGTCAAGCCAAGTTTACTTCCAAATTCTGATTTTAAAGACTTCTCCAAACAGCAGGTGAACAGAGGTTTCAATGAATATCAAAGAACACTACAGACGAGGGTAAAAATGTGTTAGCTTTCTTCCTTGGGAGTGCATCAGAGTGACCTGGAGGGGCTACTCTAGGATGAAATGGGGTTTGAAACAGAATGCTTCAAAACAATTAACTAATGTATAAACAAGCAATTCAGTCCTCCCAGCCCACTTTCCTATTTTAGTCCTACCAAATGAGTCATGTAACTAGCCAAGTGATATCAAGAAGTCCCTGTTGTTCTGTCCCCAAGTCAGTGAACAGAAGGCATTTCTCCTTTATTATATCTTCAAAAGGTGAAATCTAAATATTTCTAGGGGGTCTTCTGTGTATGTGTCAGTTTGGATCTCCTGTGTGCCTGTTATTTATAAATTACCAAGTAGCTATACAATAAATAATGCTTAAAAGGGGGGGGGGGATTTGGCTTTTGGTGACAATAATTCTCTCAACTAAAGGACCCTCCCCAGATAATTATTAATTCATTGAGCACTTGTCTAACTTGAAGTTGAGAGTAATTTTTGAGGAAATATCGAGGATACCAGGAGTTATTCCAACGCAAAGAACAAGTAACGCCAAAAACAGGTGAATGTCTAGAGGGTGGGAAGATTGCGAGCACACACACACAAAAAAGCAGAATCCTGACCTTGCCGGCAAGTCGAACAGTTGTGCACCCCTCCCCCTAGCCTCCCCGGGAGCCGGTTCACGCCATCCCAATTGGTCAGTCGGCCTGTTCCAGCACCTGCCTGGCAGTGACAAGCGAATCTCCACGAAAGACAAGAGGGTCTGAAAAGGAAGCGGCCTCGGAAACGCTTTGAGGCCCAGGAGGAAAGGATTCCAAGCGGAAAAGGAGAGGACCTTCGGAGGGATGAGGCCGGTGGTCAGAGGCTCAGGGGGACAAGGCTTGCGAGGACGACTGGGGGTCAGGGGCCGGAGGTGTTAGCAGGGCCCGGGTGAGGTGAGAGGTTGAGGGCCGCCTGCGGGCCGCGGGAAGGGGAGAGCTAAGGGGCTGGGAGGCCCGAGGGAGCGGAGAGGGGCGAGCAGGCCCGGGGCGGCAGGGACTGCGGTGGCCCCGGCGCGCGGACTCACGTTCTCCCACCAGCAGGATCCGCACGTCTTTCTTCATGTCGGCGGCTCGCAGGGGCCGGGCTCGGCCCGCACGCATGGAGCGGACACCTCTCGCCGGGAGCGCCTACCCCGCGGAGCCGCTCTCCCAGCGCTGCCGGCACCGCCTGCCAGCCTCCCCCGCCGCCCCGCCCGATCCTCTGCCAGGGCCCGCCGCGCCGCCTCCTCGCCTGCTTCCCCGCTCGGGAGCCGGGACAGCTCCAGCTCCGCCTCCTCCGGCTCCGCGGGCGGCTGCGGCGGCGGCGGCGGCGGCGGCGGAGCCGACGGGGCGCCGCGAGGGACAAGCGCTTTCGGAACGCGAACGCTCTCCGGGCCTGAGCGGCGCCTCCCGCGTCCGGCTCGCCGCAGCGCAGGGCCAGGGCGCCTCGCCCACCCTCCTCCCGGCCCCGGGGGCCGCGGATACGCCGGGGGCTGGGAATTTGAGTGGCAGATCCGCCCACTGATTTTGCAGAATTGGGGCAGGAAAAGGTACTTGTCCAAGGTCACATAGCTAGAGCTTGGCAGTGACTCAGGACGGCAATATTCTCACCAGACTATAATCTCAAGGAGGGCAGCGACCTGCCTACCTGGTTTTCAGTAGCATCCATACCTCATTGGACATAGCCCTCAGAAAATGATTGATTGATGTAAAGGGTGACTGGCTCCTGGGATAGAGCCTTTTCATTACCCAAAGCCACCACCCTAGCAGCTTTTTGTCTGTGATGCTTACAAAATACAGTTCTAAATAATGATTCTTTTTTATCTTGTCCTTGTAAACAGATTCATTTCTTTGTAGCAAACTAAATGACTTTCCTCTGCTCTAAGCCAAACCTAGTTTCTAAACCAAACTAAGCCACTTTCTGTGGTTTCCTTTGAGCAAGGTCTTCCGATACTAATCTTTAGTTAGGCTTGCTGAACGTAATGCTGGACACATAGGTGACACTGGATAATAAACTATTACTGAGTTTTCTAATGTTGCCTTATTTCCTCCTGACCCTCTCTATCTGGAGGAATTTGTTGCTATCTGCATAATGTGCCTTTTTTTTCTGTCTTAAATATTACATAGTAAGTTTTTAGAGGAAATAACGTGTGCATAATACAATCCCCCTTTCTCCTAGGAGAAGCCATGGGGTGTTGGTGTAGCAGTTAAGAGCTGCTGAGATATTGCAGGGGATTGAATCCAGACCCATTACCTAATGAGGTATGTGATCCTGAGTAAGTGCTTTTACATCTCCAACCTGTCCATTCTGTAACGTGGCAATAATGATAACAATACTTACCTCTTCAGGTGGTTTTGAAGAATAAGTAAGATAATACATGTCAAACATCTGGTACAGTGCCAGGCTCCGTACTTGCTCTGTTGATCTCAGCTACCATTGTTATAGCGAAGTGCACTGAAAAGTTACAAGCCACAGGCTTTGAGGCAAATACATTGTTACATTTACAACAGTATTTTGCCTCTTAGTATAATGATGTCCCTAAGGAGCATAGGAGAGGAAGCCCTTCCAAAAAACACTGTGATATAAGGAGGGAGATAAGAGAGATACACTCCTTGGTCGCTGGGAGATAATGAAGTCCTATTCCAGGATGGATGCAAATGTGAAATTCAGGTGTCTTTTTTTTTTTTTTAAGATCTTATTTATTTATTTGAGAGAGCATAAGCAGAGGGAGTTGCAGGCAGAGGGAGAAGGAGGCTCCCCGCTGAGCAAGGAGCCCGATGCAGGACTCGATCCCAGGACCCTGGGATCATGACTTGAGCCCCTGGCAGACACTTAACAGACTGAGCCACCCAGCTGTCCCGAAATTCAGGAGTCTTGATAACCCAATCTTTCAGGGAAAAGGATTCCTCTGAATTTTAGTATTACATGATGACTGAGTTGAAAAGACCCCTACCGAGCATCTATTCCACTCTCATTACTCTATAGGTGACAGCAAGACGCAGAGAGATACCGTGACTTGCCAAAGGCAGGGCAGCTGAGACTGAGCCAGGCTCTGCCATCCTTAGTGTGTGACTCTGGGCAAGTCATATCACCTGTTGCCTCAGTTTACTCTCTCCCAAATGAAGACTATCATCTCTTCCCAGCCTCTGACCTTATGGAATTTTTTGGAGGATCCCATTAAATAATATATGTGAAAAAACTTTTTCTTATAAAAGTAAGTTACACAAATATTAGACTACAAAGGACAAAGACCCTTTACAGAGAGGCAAATTCTTCAGGGCACTGCCCGCTCCAAACAACCCTCTGCAAAGAATCTTGATCCCAGGAGTGCTGCAATAGCATTACCAGCTGATGATGGTGTTAATTCTGAGGGACTTCTCCGGGAGCATGAGAAGAGACAAGGCCTTCATGGTGTTGTACATGTGTGCTGGCATGTACAGCTTTGGCATTCCTATTAATTGAAATGTTTGGAAGGCAGGGGACTAAGAAGAGTTTATTTGGCAGGGGAACATCACAGAGTTAATACTGGGAACTCCTTTGTCAATAAAACCTACTTAAAAACCCACAGTCGGGGCGCCTGGGTGGCTCAGTTGGTTGAGCGTCTGTCTTTGGCTTGAGTCATGATCTCAGGGTCCTGGGATCAAGCCCCCATCAGGCTCCCTGCTCCGTGGGAAGCCTGCTTCTCCCTCTCCCTCTGCCACTCCCCCGCCTTGGGTTCTCTCACTCTCTCTCTGTCAAATAAATAAATCTTAAAAAAAAAAAAAAAAATCCAGACTCAAGGGCTGCAGAAAAGAGACAACCAACCACCACTTTCAGTAGGCAACAACGAATGGTTTGTACAAACAGAGACCGACACTCATTAAAGTGAGGGAGAGGGTATCTAGGCCTCCTGGGCAATGTAAATTTCTTCTTACAGCCCCTCTCCATCTATCAATCAACTATACTTGTGGAGCTTTGGCCCCCTGCCCTCCCTTGATATGCCCTTCTCATAATATTAACAGGCATCCATCAGGGGTCACTGTGAAGTTCTCCTGGAGACAGTATAGTTCAGGGGTTAAGAGCAGGGACTCTGGAGTCTGCCCCCCTAGGTCTGAAACTCAGCTTTGCCAGTAACTAGTTGTGCATCATCAAGCAAATTGCTTAACTTCTCTGTAACTCATCTGCTAAATGATAATAACACCTCATGGAATTGTAATGAAGATTAAATGTGTTACTAGTAGGAAAACACTTAGAATAGTGCATAGTACATGGTCAGTGATTTACAAATGTTGAATAAAGTAAATTGTGAAGAAAGTGACTTCCGTACACCTCTCTGAGCCTAAGTATAGAGCCACATGATGACACACTGCAGCGAAACATAAGCCAGGGAATGGAGTTGTTGGCAGTGGGACTGCTGGGATATTACAGACTGATTACTGTATATTAAGTATGTTGGATAGAGCCAAGAAGACAGATTGGAATCTAGAAGGCACTGATGGAATTTTCCTCCAGAACACTGCTAGGAAGGAGCTCTACCATCACAAGACAAACTTCTTGTCTCCTCAACTGTACAGGGGACATAGGGAGGTCTGAACAAAATACTCTTGCCAGGAGATAACAGGATCCATCTTTTATGTCTGTCAAAGGAGGAGCTTGCCACCTAGCCTCTCTTTGCATCCCAGGACAGCGGAACACCCAGAGCCAGTGGGTAGAAGATGACTGACATTGGGTGGGAGAAGAGGCTGGTTTCTGATTGGTGAGTTAGCCACAGTCCTGGGCAGGAGACCAAGTCAGACTCGGGCTGGCATTGGTCCCACTCCTCAGATCCTTCTATCAAGTTAAACCCAAAGTAGCATTCATCATCCACCCATTCTTCACTTTTATCTCCCATTCTGCCCAGGAAGACTTCTTCCTTTTGCTGTCAAGCCTGTTCTGCTGGAGCAGAAAAGTCCAATGCCTTGATATAGAGTAAATACTTTATCTTGCCTTCTAATGCACTTGTTCTTGGTTCATTGTTCAAACATCCATGTCCTCTGTGTAGTCACATGGATGGGTCTCTAGAGGACACGGATTCTGTTTGCTTGATTAGGCTGGAAGGTACGTCACTCAGCACAATTACTTATTAAAAGGCATTTGAAAACTAACCATGTTGAAAGGCAATTTTTCCACATAGGACCCTCATCTGTTAACACAGCATAATTTACAGAGTTGTGGAATCACTAGGTTATACACTTGAAACTGATGTAACATTGTGTGTCAACTGTACTAAAAAAAAAAAATCCTCCACTCTACAGCATACAAATGCTTTATTTTACAGGTTCTCTTTAGCTTTTGAAAAAAGAATGGGTATTTTAAATATTGAAGAACTGGATACTTTTTATAACACTCAACTAGATAGTAAAGGCTAATTTTTGTCTAAAAAAAAAATCCTCACGTATTGATGAGGTTGCATCCAGTTTTCTTTTTAATTTTCTTAAGCTCCTTTCAAATACAGACTGTAAAACAAAAACCCTCAATTAAGAGATAATTTATATTGAGAAGCCTCTCAGACCCATCCTCCCCACACATGGTCTGAATTCCCTTAGGGAATGGGTAAGCGCATGGGCTCCGGAGCCTACATTTCATCTCCAACACTTTGCTAGCTGGGCAAACATTGGGCAAGTTACAGAACCTCTCTGAAAAACATAAACCTCATCTGCAAAATGGAGCTATCTCATAGGGCTTTTTTGATAATTAAATAAAGTCCAGATAAAGCATTTATCACATTGTTTAACACATAGTTCATGCTCACATATCACTGTTCACTGCATTTTTTAATTTGGAATTCATTTGCTGACATGCATAATTTTTCCAAGGGCAAATTGATTAGCCTGCCCACTCAAATTGTAAACTCCAAAAGGCAAAAATGCATTTAATATAACTTTTGATCACTGTAAAGACATTAAAATTTTTGCTGACTTATTATAAATATCAACCAGTGATTCTCAGAAATTTTTAGGCCACAGGCTATTTCTGCAAAACAAAAAAATCCATAAATAGTAAATTTATAATTTCTGTTTATTTCTGCAAAGAAATCACCACAATTAAATATATTCCAAGAAAATAATCAAAAGAAGAAAAAAATATATACATATACATATTCTATTTAGAGGAACATTGCACAACAGTTAAAAATGGAAAAGCATACAATTATAGGGAATAAATTAAGTATGGCATAAAATTATTGGAACGTCTGCAGTCATTATGGCACCTGGCTGGCTCAGTCGGTAGAGCATATGACTCTTGACCTCAGGGTCATGAGTTCAAGCCACACACTGGGTACAGAGATTACCTTAAGATTAAATAAATACGGGGCGCCTGGGTGGCTCAGTCAGTTAAGCGTCTGCCTTCGGCTCAGGTCATGATCCCAGGGTGCTGGGATCGGGTCTCCAGTCGGGCTTCCTGTTGAGCCTGCTTTTCCCTCTCCCTCTGCTGCTCCCCCTACTTGTGCTCACTCTCTCTCTGTCAAATAAATAAATAAAATCTTTAAATAAATAAATAAGTACATTGGAGAACATTTGCAGTCATTAAAACTAATGACTATTATAGATATGGAGGGGCGCCTGGGTGGCTTAGTCCGTTAAGCGTCTGACTTCAGCTTGGGTCATGATCTCAGGGTCCTGGGATCAAGCCCCATGTCAGGCTCCCTGCTCAGCGGGGAGTCTGCTGGTCTCCCTCTCCCTCAGTCCCCTCCCCTTTGCCCTCCCCCACTGCTCCATCTCTTTCAAATAAATAAAATCTTTAAAAAAAAAGATATGGAAAAGTATTTACAAAACAAGTGAAAAAATAAAAATATAAAACCACATATATAATTACAGCTGTATAAAAATGAAGTATGATATATTCATTTATACAAAGTTTATCCTCTATACTTCTGTAGTTTTGAACTTTTACAAGCATGTACATGTGTTCGTCAGGTAATTAAAAATGAATAGATGTACATAAATATTAGATGAGAGTACAAAGAAAGGAAAAATGTATTAAAGATTATGAATTAATTTTTAGTACAACCATCTTTGGTAAAATGTCAAAGTTAATTTAATAATTATATCTTTTAAATAAAATTAATAGAAATATTTAGAAGAGGGGTGCCTGGGTGGCTCAGTCGGTTAAACGTCTGCCTTCAGCTCAGGTCATGATCCCAGGGGCCTAGGATCGAGTCCTGCATTGGGCTCCCTGCCCCCCCCACCCATTCTCTCTCTCTTGCTCTCTCTCAAATAAATAAATAAAATCTTTTAAAAAAATTAAAGAAATATTTAGAAGAATAGCAATGCTTTGACACACTAATGTAGGATATCATGTTTATTAAGTCATTTAACAAGTATTTAGTGTTTCTACCATGTGTGAGGCTCTGGGCTGTGCTCTGTGCTAGGAGCACAGTAATGAACAACACCGATATGTTATAGACAAAGCAGCTCGTATTTAGGCACCCATCCTATCACCAGAATCCTCCAAATCATCCTCTGTGTACCCAAACCTTTCAAAAACCTTCCACAAAAGGTGGCATCTCATAATCTAAATCTTTACCTCCCCTAGCCAAAATCAGCGGACCTGTGACTGTGTCGCATCCCTCTGGTAGTCTGCTCTTCCTACAGGCCTGTGTTAACAGATGACCCCCAGGCAACACCATGCCTTAACCCAGCAAAAATGCAAATATCCCAGAGGTTCCTAGGAAAAAATACCATGGTTTTAGCCCGAGGGGCCTTCCTGATGGCTCCTGGTTTTAGTGGGTCTGCTTTGATCTGATCTAAACATGTTGTGTACCATTTTCAACAGAGATCTCCCTCTGGACAAGGGGGAGGACACTACAGGCCAAGTAGACTGGATGCACAAAAGTACATGATGTGACACAAAGCAAGGTGGCTGGGGTGGAGGGTGTGTGGGGGAGGATGACAGGAAATGGGGCTAGAGGTAGGGAAGAGTAGAGGTAGGAAGTGGAACTTTCTGCTGGAGGCACTGGGGAGCCCTAGGGAGTTTTAAGTGGAGAAGCACATCTGATTTGTGTTCAGGGAAGCTCACGTTAGCAGAATGAGAACAGATGGGAAGGGGGTTCTAACTAGAGACAGAGGGGCTCGAATTAAAATAATCCAGCAGAGGGGCACCTGCGTGGCTCAGTCAGTTGGGCGTCTGCCTTAGGCTCGGGTCATAATCCTGGTGTCCTGGGATCAAGGCCCGAGTTGTGTTCCCTGCTTGGTGGGGAGCCTACTTCTTCCTCTCCTGCTCCCCCTGCTTTGCTCTCTCTCTTTAAAAAAGAAAATAATAATAATAATAAAATAAAATAATCAGGCAGAGAAGTGATTAGAGTCTGAACCAGAGTAGATGCAGAGGGAAGGGGAGGGGGCCGGGGCTGGGATGATTTGAGAAGGCAGAATCCAATGTCACAACCTGGTGACTAATTGTGCAGAAGGTGGTGAAGAAAAGATCCTGTGGTAACTCCAAGACGCTGTGTCCTGACCAAAGGCAGAAGGCTTTCTCCCCAGGGCATATTAATTTCGAAAAATAAAGGTGAAAAGACTTCACTGAGCAGGGAGGGAAGACAGTCTTCCATTGAGCAACAGCCCAATGTCTTAGAAGCATGTTACCCTAAGTCGTGGAACGAGGTAATTATAGATGGTGCAGGGACATTTGAAATGGTGACCCCTGTGGCCAGAATGTTTTTTCCCTTTTCTATTATGTTTCTATCCTAATTAAGTCAAGGTGAAAGCCCCAAGTAAATCTATAATACCTGATAATCTCCACTTGTGAGCGCATGCACGAGAGAGAGAGAGAGAGAGAGAGAGAGAGAGAGAGGGAGAGAGAAAGAGAGAATGCATGAAAGCCAGCTCCAGAGCAAGCCTCGGGTTCAGAGCCTTATAGGACAGAACCAAGCCACTCATATTGTTTTTGTTTTCTGTGAAACATATATTTAGGGTTACCCCTTTAAGACACAGGATTCCGATTCCCATCTACATAATTTTTTTTAAAAGTTTCCTTTTGAAATAAATGTACCCGATGGGGGGTAGTGAGTTGGTTTAGGAAAAAATATTAAGTAAAAAATGATGCAGGAGATACACAAGTGCGACAAGAATCGTGGCACATAAAAGACTGAAGCTTGGGAAACAGTGTCCTGAGAAAGCCTATGGCTGCTTAGGAAAGTAAACCCCAAATCAGAACAAATCTTTAATTATAATTAAAGAAGACTGCACTCCTCTGGAAGAACACAAAATCATGCAGTGACTAGGGTTTGGGGGTTTTTAAAAAAAATTTTATTTTATTTATTTATTTATTAAATATTTTATTTATTAGAGAGAGAAGAGCAGAGGGAGAGGGAGAAAGAGGCTCTCTGCAGAGCAGAGAGCCCAACACAGGACTCGATCCCAGGACCCTGAGATGATGACCCGAGCCAAAGGCAGACACCCAACCGACTGAGCCACCCAGGCGCCCTGTAAAAAATATTTTATTTTTAAGTAATCTCTACACCCAACATGGGGCTCGAACACACAAACCCAAAATCAAGAGTCGCATGCTCCACTGACAGAGCCAGGCAGGCGCCCCTTGCCGTGATTAGGGTTTTGAGCAATTACGAGTGAGGATGAATTTGGGTTTGAATAGTGTAGGTTTGGGGCTGAGGGCTTAGTTAGGAGTGGGGAATGATGGAGCTGAGCATATAGGAAGGAAAATTCTCCCTTCCTGTCAAAAGCCCCAAGTGCCCCTGGGGAAGGGATTTTTCCTTCAACCACAGCAAAAGGTACCTGAGGTACCTCCAAAGAGCAGCATTGTTGCATTTCGCCGCTTGTTTCTGCAATCAGCTAGGAAATGAAGTCTTCAAATTAAACTTTTCCAGAAAAAAATGTATTTGAGGGAGGAAAAGTAAGGGACAGATAGATACAATTGTATGAGAGGTTGCTATGAGTCTAAGAAGGTGGTGGCTTCCTGGTTGGTAAGTGGTTCTTCTAGGAACCCAAAGCCCTGGACCCCAATAATGGAAACAACCATGCTTTCCAGTAGGTGCCTCCTCCCCAGCGGGTGAAGAGTGTGTGTGAGGCGGAGGGGAAGAGAGAGGGAGAGATAGACAGAGGTGGCTGTTGTCACTGACATTACTCCCTTCTCTCTGACCCCCAGAAAAAAAGCACTTCACGGAGACATGCCTCCAAGAAAACAAGGGTTTTTGAGAGAAACGTCTGCAGAGGAGGTGAGAAGCTGCCCCAGGAGTCCTCGGTGCTCTCCCCATGAGCTTTTGCCTCCCCATGGGACATCTTTCCAGTCTGATCCGTGTGTGGATGATTCCTTCCCCCACATAGTATAGATCCAAGTGAGAGGTCCTTCACTCACTGGCATTCCAGCTTCGTTCTTTCTCCTCCTCCTCCTCCTCCTTTCTTCTTCTTTTTTTAAGATTATTTATTTATTTATTTGACAGAAAGAGACACCGAGAGAGGAAACACAAGCAGGGGGAGTGGGAGAGGGAGAAGCAGGCTTCCCGCTGAGCAGGGAGCCCGAGGCGGGGCTCCATCCCAGGACCCTGGGATCCTGACCTGTGCCGAAGGCAGATGCTTAACGACTGAACCACTCAGGCGCCCCTCAGCTATGTTATTTCTATTCTGGAGGATTTTTGTTTTGTTCTGTTTGAGGAAGGGTACCATTTTTCACAGTGTCCCAGAAAGCTGATTGCTGACCAAAAACTCGAGACAAAAGCAAAGAAGCAGAGGGCTAACCTTCATTCTCTACCTTTCTGATTCTTATGCTTCTGCTCTAGTTTGGGGAAATCATGTGACCAGGCAACAAACTCCGTGCTCAAAGAGGCCGCATTATCCAAACCACCAGATGGGATGGTATTTAACCAAAGCACCTCAAGACGCTAAAAACCCTGGCCTCTGAATTCTCAGTCTTGGTGCTTTTGAAGGGCAAACATCAAAGTGACTCTGGGTGAGAAGATAAAAGCGCCACGATGCAGGAAGTGAGAACCGAGAGCCCTTTAACGGTCAACTGGCACAAAGAGAGAGGTCTTGTCCTTATTCAGACAACCCAAGGCCACTCTACTAACCGAGGACTGCCACCACCACCAGGCAGAAAAAAAAGAGTACCTCGTGGCTCTAGGGCTAGCTGTGTCCCATCAGAGTGGAAGGCCAGGTCCCCGTTCAGCACAGGACCTTATCAGAGGGTATTAAGGTTAGAGACTCGAGAGGGGGGGAAAGTGGGCCTGGTCCCTGCCCTGCTAGCTGACCAGCCCTGGACAAACCACTAACCCCGTCTGGACCCCCGCTTCCTGGTGTGTTACATCATACGGTGGTCGCAAGGCTAGAGAGCAAATTAATAGAACATGTGGAAGAATTTGGCTTGGCCCTGTTCTCGAGGACATGTATGTAAATTAGATGTGAGTCTCAAGATGTTAGAGGCCAAGGTGCGGAGGCTGACATAATTCTGTCATTGCTATGGTTACAATTGTCCTGGCATTTTCCCAGTTCCCTTACCTATTACTTTAATTCTTTCAGCAACCCTTTGACGAAGGTAAGGAAGGGCAAATGAGGGGCGCCTTGGTGGCTCAGTTGCTTAAGCGTCTGCCTTCGGCTCGGGTCATGATCCTGGAGTCCCGGGATCGAGTCCCGGGATCGAGTCCCGCATCGGGCTCCCTGCTCGGCAGGGAGTCTGCTTCTCCCTCTGACCCTCCCCCCTCTCATGTGCGCTCTCTCTCTCTCTCTCTCAAATAAATAAATAAATAAATAAAATCTTTAAAAAAAAAAGGAAGGGCAAATAATAATTATTTCCATCTTACAAGGGAAAGGAGGGCAAAGAGTTTAAATGTACTGCCAAGGGTTGTCTGGCTGGTTTGTGCTGCAGCACTGTCTGCTCAACCCTGCCCCACAGCCCAGATGTGAATTTCCACATCCTCAAAACAGGTGCCAATCCAGCCTGAGGTCCTATGGATGAACTGCAAGCAGAGGAGAGGGAGAGGGAGATGTGTAGATTAGGAGACCTACAAGACACATTGACAGCTAATGGGTATGAGGGATCTTTCTGGGGGTGATGAAAATGTTCTAAAATTAGAATACAGTGAGGGTTTCACAACTCCATACTAAACATTGTTTTGTACACTTCAGTTTTTATGTTTTTAAAGATTGATTTATTTATCTCTACACCCACCGTGGGGCTTGAACTCATGACCCTGAGATCAAGAGTCGCACACTCTACTAACTGAGTCAGCCAGGTGCCCCAATCTGTACACTTATTTTATTTGTTTATTTATTTTTAAAGATTATTTTTTAAAAGATCATTTATTTATTTATTTGAGAGAGAGAGAGAGAGAGCACATAAGCAGGGGGAATGGCAGGCAGAGGCAGAGGGAGAAGCAGGCTCCCTGCTGGGCAGAGAGCCTGAAGTGGGGCTCGATCCCAGGACCCTGGGATCATGACCTGAGCTGAAATCAAGAGTTGGTCGCTCAACCAACTAAGCCACCCAGGTGTCCCCCGATCCGTACACCTTAAATAGGTGAATTTTATAGTATGTACATTATATCTCAACAAAGCAGTTAAGAAAAAGACATCCATTTTTTTTTTTACATGGGTAAGACTCTTGTGGCTAGGGGTGCATATTCGGGTGCTAAAACTCTAAAGAGATTCAAGGAAGTGATTACTGTAAAAGTCAGATTCCTTTCAGGTAGAATGCCTGCATTGGTGTTCAGTGGTAGAATTCTCCTTTCAGGTAGAAGCAGGGTCATGTGATTGAGACAAGACACGTGAAGGAACTTCTGGGAGGGGGGGATAGGAAGGTTTTATTTCTTGACCCAAAGGTAGTTAATAAGGGTGTTTATAATAATTCATTATTTATATTCCACATGTGTTTTATGAAGTTTTCTGTATCTGTTCTGTCATGTAATAAAATGGTTTTTAAAAACAGGGGAAATCGAGAACAAAATGACACCCAGTGTTGGCCAGACTGTAAGGGGCCCCCAAGCCCCGCCACCTCCTGGTATTCCTGCTCTTCCCTAATCCCTTCCCATGCAGTAAGCGTGAGCAGGACCTGTGGTATGTTTCTAACCAATAGAAGAAGGCAAAGGCCACAGGATGTATGTGATTATGTTTGTGTGATTACATTATATAAGATCTAATGTCCATTTGGCTAGGAGACCGCCTCTTCTTCGTTGGCTTTGAGGAAGTAAGCAGCTACGTTCCAGAGGCCCATGGGGTAAGGAACTGAAGGTGGCCCGCAGACAATAGCCAGCAAGAAACTGAGGCCCTCCGTCTAACAACCCACGGGGAACTGAATGCCGCCAACCATGTGGGTTTGGAAGGAGAGCCTTGCCCAGGTGAGCTTCAGATGCCACCATGGCCCCAGGTCACCCCTTAACTGCAGCTGGTGAGGCTAGTCGTCGAACTGTGCCCTAACGCCTGGTGCACAGAAACTGAGCTAATAACTGAGCGCTGTTTGAAACCACTGCATTCATGGTAGTATTATTCCACAGCAATGGATAACCTGCCCCCGTGTTGTAGGGGGAGGGTCCCTAAAACCACTCCCAGGTTCAGTGATTCACTAAAAGGACCCACAGAACTCAACAAAGCGATTGTAGTCTTGGTTACAATTTATTACAGTGAAAGGATACAGATTAAAATCTGCAGGAGAAAAAGGCACATGGGACACAGGCCAAAGAGACACCAACTCTCCTTCCCCATGGAGTCACACAACAGTATTAATTCTCCTAGTGACAATGTGTGACAATGTACAAGGAGACTGCCAACCAGGGAAGCTCCCCCAAGCTTTGGTGCCCAGGCTTTTCCTGGGGGTCAACCACATGGGCAGGCCTTAGTCTCCAGTCCCTCTAGAGGTCAAGCTGATACCTCCTGGCCCAAGACCCTCCAGCGAACAAACACTCTTATCAGGCAGGATACCCCAAGGGCTTAGGGGTTGCCTCCCAGCAACTAGTCAAGGGCCCACGCTCTCTTGGGAATGTGCAGTCTGCCCATCCCAAGCCTGCAGTTAGCCCTTTATGGCGCACCCATTAACTCTGGAAGTGGGACTCTTGTCGAGGTGCCACCAGCTTGAAAGCAGAGGGAGAGGCCAGGAAACCACCAGGTTCTGACACCCAGGGAACCCTTACACCCTTACTGGTCTTATAGTCAGAGAGTTTCCAGGATTTAAGCCATAGAGCCAGAAGGCGGGGTGCAGAGGAGAGGAGGCTGAGACCGGGCACTCATACAGAAGCGTCTCCTGATCAGCCACTGAATAGAAGGCAAGGTTCCCCTCCTGCAGGTCCAGCCAGATGCCCACCACCTTAGGTCTCTCTGAGCCAAGGACAGTCTCCTTGACCATGTGCCATGCAGAGAGCTGGCTAGTCCCCTTCCACTCTACACAGTAGGAGTCCCTGGTCCTTCCCAGGATCTGGGTCCGCTTCATCCCCCAGGAAGCCACCCCAACTGCCCAGTGGCTGCAATGCTGAGTGTCTACTTCCCAGTACTGCTGTCCAGAAGAAAAGGCCTGGGAACATAAGGCCTGGCAGGTCACAAACCTCTCATGACTCCCAAGATGGGTCTGTGGACAGCGAGATACAGTCACGGCCCGGCCATCCTTGGACACCTCCAGGGTATAGGAGTGGCTGCGAAGGTCAAAGGTCGGACAGATGGCCCCTGAGGAAAAGAGCAAGGATATGACTGGCTTGCTCTAATAGCAAAAAGCAGCTTGGGGATTTGTTTTTGTTTTTAAAGATTTTATTTATTTATTTGAGAGAGAGAGAGCAAGAGCGAGAGCATGGGGGGGGGAGGGAGAAGGGAGGGGGAGGGGTAGAGAGAGAAAGGAAGCAGACTCCCTGCTGAGCAGGTAACCCAATGCTCAGGACCCTGGGATCATGACCCAAGCGGAAGGCAGACACTTAACTGACTGAGCCACCCATGTGCCCCGCACAAAGCAGCTTTGTACCTTTGGGTGTGATAAAGTTTTATTCATACTGGCATTAAAACAAGTACATCAACTTGCAGTTTTCTGTACACATCCCTAGTATTGTTCTAATCACAATACCCTTTTTCCATCTTAATTTTTACTTCCCCATTGGGCCTCTTTCAGGTAGCTGTCTCTGAATCCCATTCAGCATAGCCTGGAATTTGGGAGTCTTCAATCCCATTTGTCTTTGTAATCAGATCCTCTTGTGAGCCAAGGAGAGACCCAGCAGCAGAAAGGTGGACCCGGCCGGCCAAATCCAAGTGTTCAGCAGCCCACATACTTACACTGAGCAAACCGGGAGGCCCTCTTGGGGGCTGGGTGGCTCTGGTCAGGCAGCGGACATGAAGAGGAATAGGGAGCTTCTGGGACTTCCACCAAGAATTTCAGAAAATCGGGAAGGGGAAAAAGGGTCATCAAAAATAAATAAATAAACAAATAAAAGGCAAATACAAGGTATCCAAACATCGTGATCAGGACACACAGCTTGTCTGCTTCATCACATTTCCTCACACATTTTTTTAGTGTCAGACTTGGATCAGGCAGAACATCCACCTCAGGTATGTGCAGCCCCATGTTCTCACCGTGGACTTTTTTTTACTGCGCGTTTCTTCCCCCACCCCCCGTAAGCTCTAAGCTCCTTGCTGATAGAGACCTTGTTCATCTTTATGTTCTAAGCACCAAGCGTAGTGCCAGCTACATAGGAAGTAAGTGCTATGTGCATATCTATCAAATAAATTATAGGTCTAGGGGATCACAGCACCCCAACACCCAAAATATCCATGACACCCCCCCCATCAGTGCCTTAAACTGTTACTTGCATAAGTAAATTCTGAATGGGCACTTAAACTAATACAAGCAGTTAACAGAGGCAGGGCAATAGGAAAATTGAATGAGGGTGGGAAAGAGACCTTCACTGTAAGCTTTTATATTGTTTTGATTTCTGAATTTAAATTTTTTTTTTTTAATTTCTCACAAGCATTTTGCATTTTATTTTTTTAAGATTTTATTTATTTATTTGAGAGAGAGAGAGACAGAAATAGTGACAGAGAGCATGAGTGGGGAGGAGAGGGAGAAGCAGACTCCCTGCTTCTCAGGGAGCCTGACTCGGGGCTCGATCCCAGGACCCTGGGATCACGACCTGAGCCAAAGGCAGACGCCAACTGCCTGAGCCACCCAGGCACCCCTGAATTTAAAATTTTAGGGGTGGGGGCGCCTGGGTGGCTCAGTCGTTAAGCGTCTGCCTTCGGCTCAGGTCATGATCCCAGGGTCCTGGGATCGAGCCCCGCATCGGGCTCCCTGCTCCACGGGAAGCCTGCTTCTCCCTCTCACACTCCCCCTGCTTGTGTTCCTTCTTTCGCTGTGTCTCTCTCTGTCAAATAAAAATAAATAAATAAATAAATAAATAAATAAATAAATAAATAAATAAATAAATAAAAATTAAAAAATAAAATTTTAGGGGTGCCTGGGTGGCTCATTGTTAAGCATCTGCCTTTGGCTGAGGTCATGATCCTGGTGTCCTGGGATCGAGCCCCGCATCAGGCTCCTGGCTCAGCGGGAAGCCTGTTTCTCCCTCTTCCACTCCCCCTGCTTGTGTTCCCTCTCTCGCTGTGTCTCTCTCTGTCAAATAAATAAATAAAATCTTTAAAAAAAATAAAATAAAATTTTTAATTTAACCCCAAAATCTAAAAATTGATTTTATTTAAAGATTTTGTTTTTAACTACACCCAACGTGGGGCTTGAACTCACAACCCTGAGATCAAGAGTTGCATGCTCCACCAACAGAGCCAGCCAGGAGCCCCTAAATACTGATTTTAAATTTAAGTAAATAAGATCACTAAGGAACCCAATCTAAATTTAGCGGGACACAGGAGCTAAGAGGGCACTTATTTCTCAGTTTTTGGAACAACTGATAAAGTGTGCTCTCACTTGTTTCCTTGAGTTTTTCCCAAGGGATGAAGTTCCTCCACTTAAATAAAAAATAACTTTTTAAGCAGAGCAAGATCATTTATTTATTTTTTTAAAGATTTTACTTATTTATTTGACAGAGAGAGAGCGAGAGAGGGAACACAAGCAGGGGGAGTGGGAGAGGGAGAAGCAGGCTTCCTGCCGAGCAGGGAGCCCGATGTGGGACTCGATCCCAGGACCCTGGGATCATGACCTGAGCCGAAGGCAGACGCTTAACGACTGAGCCACCCAGGCGCCCTGAGCAAGATCATTTAAACATAAAAATAGTTATAAGAGGTATGTCTCTAAAGTATATAAAGTTGGCAGTGGCGAGAGCAGGAGGCAGAACAGAGGGAGCCCAGAGCTCACGTCTAAGGGGCAGGTGTGAATTGTTCTTCAGTGGTGACAAGGGTTACAATAGAGAACCTCCAAAGTCAGGACAGAGAGGTTCTTTTCTGCGTTGTTACTGTTTTCTATTAGCATACTCACCACACATGATATTTTAATTAAACTTATCAAGGACAATTTACAAAGTTGCATGCTTTGTTAACAAAGACATTTAATAGTTAAACATAAAAAGCAGCCTGTTTCTGAATCTCCTCAGGTTGGTAACACAGGCGAGCAGCAAAATCAGGTCTAGGTTCTGGATGTAGAGGTCTTGGAAAATGAGTTTCATCTTTTAAAGGCCTAGGTGACATCATACCTCCAGCCATATCCAAAACACGTATCCAGCCACAAAAACACCTCCGCCCACCCCTTCCTCATTTACAACAGCACAGGGACAACACAGCTGGGCTCTGGGATCCTATCCCCAAAAAACAAAGCTATTTGTCACTGTTTTTGTCATTTCCCCCAAATTCCATATTTAATCCTCTTTCACCCAATAAAATCAACTCACCCTGCGGCTGTTCTTCAAAGGCCTCTTTCCACGTGAAGTTTTTCTGTAATTTCTTCTGGATTTCTTCTAGGTCATGTAGAATGTCTCTCGTTTTTCTCTCGGGTGTGTTGGAAGTCACTGGCTTTGAAGAAGCCAAGGAAAGGTCCACCCCACCAGAAGAAGACTATTGATGGATCATTAAAAAGAAATTAAATAATTGAAGTTTCCTAAGGTGTGCAGCAAATAGTATATTCTAATTCTGCCATCTATCATTTTCTACTTGCCTCCTCACAGATTTTTAAAAACATAATTAGGTCCTCAAACTACATGCCTTGAAAGCAATTTGGAAGAACACACAGTGCAGCAAAAATATTAAAGGGTGGTTATTTCTGGGTGGTGGGGTTACAGACGATGTTCCTTTGTTTTCTTTAAACTGCTATGCATTTTCAGGGCGCCTGATGGCTCAGTTGTTAAGTGTCTGCCTTCGGCTCAGGTCATGATCTCAGGGTCCTGGGATTGAGTCCCACATTGGGCTCCCTGCTCCGCGGGAAGCCTGTTTCTCCCTCTCCCACTCCCCCTGCTTGTGTTCCCTTTCTTGCTATATCTCTCTCTGCCAAATAAATAATCTTAAAAAAATTTTTTTTTAAAAACCTGTTATACATTTTCTAGTATTATGTACAATAAATGTGGATTTCTTAGGTAATACCCAAAAAAGTAGTAAAATTTGTAAGCCCATCCTCTAGGGGCTTTACAAAATAAATAATACAGATAGTCACCAAGATCAGCCACAGAGGCCATAATAATCTTCCCTGGAAGGCTATCATTCTATCACCTCTCCTCTCAAGAACCAGTGTAGACATGTGGCCAGGCATCCAGCCCCTCCCAGCTCTCTGGGGCCGCCAACACATGCTCCCTGACTTTATTTAACCTCGGGTCCTGTTATTCCCCAACACAGCCTCTCATCTGCTCCCACCATGCCACCTTTGGCCCCTGATGTTCCTTCCCAATTTTGGATACTCTTATTTTCCACTCTTCTTACCAACTGTAAAGTAGCAGGCACCACTGACTGAGTACTTCACGTGGCTTACTTCTAATTTGTGTAACAACCTTCCAAGGTAGGTTGGTTATCCCCCTTTTACAAAAGAAGTTACAGCTCACGGAGGTGAACTAAATCACCATAGTGAATTTTATCATCCTGCATTTTCCCACCACTTGAGCGCTTATTTTTTTTTTAATTAAAAAAAAATTTTTTTTTGAAGATTTTGTTTATTTATTTGAAAGAGAGCGCAAGAGAGAGAGAGCACAATGGTGGGGAGGGGCAGAGGGAGAGGGAGAAGCAGGCTCCCCGCCAAGCAAGGAGCCCAATGCAGGACTTGATCCCAGGACCCTGGGATCACGACCTGAGCCGAAGGCAGACGCCCAACTGACTAAGCCACCCAGGCGCCCCTCGAGCACTTATTTAGACCAGAGCTTCATTAGTCCTCACATCAAACCAATGCAATGTTAAGTGTGAAAGTCAGACTCTCAGGCTTTCCTCCCCCCAACACCTTACAGCCCTGAAGACCCCTGAGTATTTGCTGAGCACTTACTATGTGGCAAGCACCTTGCTAAGCTTGGGGATACAAGAGTGAACAAAAGCCATCAGGGTCTCTACCCTAATGAAGCTTAGAGTCCAGAGCAGGGGAGGAGGGAAAACAGACATGAATAAATTATGGCACCCATCATTATCAAGTTGCAACTTGTGGTAATTGCTGCAAATGAAATCGTAAGAGCCTCTAACAGGGGGACTTGTTCGAGGAAATCAGTGGAGGTTTCTCCAGGAAAGTTTCTCCAGGAAAAGGAAGGTTTCTCCAGGAAAGTGATGATCTAGCCGGGATGAGAAGGATGAGAGGTGTTATCTAGGTGGCAGGGCGAAAGAACATTCCACGGGGTGCACCCTGTGGTGGGAAGAAGTATGACACTGGGGGACTGATAGGGGCCAGAGTGGCTGAAGCTTGAAGAGCCCGGGGAGTGGCGGGGGAGGGGAGCCGGCTGGAAGGAGACAGGACAGGCAGACAGGGAAGGAGTCCTGCAGGGCCCTGTTGGTTCTGTGAGGACAGCCAGGATTTGGGTCTTAATCCCACACAAGCAGATGTCACTGGAGATGTTATAAATCAGATTTGTGTTTGAGAGGGTCACTCTGACAACCATGAGAAGAGCAGACCAGCAGGAATAGAGTGGGGTAAATAATTATTGCAGCAATCCAGGCAAGAAATGATCAGAGGCTTGGGGAGCCTGGGTGGCTCAGTCGCTTAAGTGTCTGCCTTCACCTTAGGTCATGATCTCAAGGTCCTGGGATGGAGCCCCACACTGGGCTCCCTGCTCAGTGGGGAGTCTGCTTCTCCCTCTGCCACCCCCCACCCCCAGCTTGTGCTCTCTCTCTCATTCACTCTCTCTCTCAAATAAATAAAATCTTTTTTATTAAGATTTTATTTATTTATTTGACACAGAGAGACAGCAAGGGAGGGAACACAAGCAGGGAAGTGGGAGAGGGAGAAGCAGGCTTCCTGCTGAGCAGGGAACCCGATGCGGGGCTCGATCCCAGGACCCTAGGTTCATGATCTGAGCTGAAGGCAGACGCTTAATGACTGAGCCACCCAGGCGCCCCAAATAAAATCTTAAAAAAAAAAAAAAAAGAAATGATCAGAGGCTTGGATCAGAGATGTCTCCAAGGAGCTCAAGAGTAGTAAATAGGCTCTGGGGATGTTTAGGCCAGTGAGGGAGGGGGTGACATGATTCCCAGGTTCCTGGCTTGTGTCCTTAGAAGGATCATAGGGCCAGTCACCAAGATGGGGACTCCCAGAGGAATTTGGGACAGTTTGGGACATTCTAAATGGGATGTGCCTTTGAGACACACAGAGGAAAAGGTGAGAAGGAAGATAGCAGACCACAGCTCAGAGAGGGGTCCAGGCTGGAGCTATGTTTGCGCATGGGGTGGTAATTAAAGCCATGGTGTGGGGAAGACCACTCAGTGGGGAAGAAAAAAGGATGTACCCCTCAGCCTTGAGAAATTTGGGCATTTTGGTGCTGAGGAGAGGAAAAGAGAGTGAGCCTGCAAGACAGCTGGGGAAGGAGCAGCCATAGAGAAACAGGGGAAGGTCAGAAGACTCCTGTCCTGGAAGCTAAGGGAAAAGAAAGCTTCAGGAATGAAGGTGTGGTCAAAGGCTGCTGAAAGGTCAATGAAGATGGGGACTAGACTGTCTGCAGGATTTGCATAGAGGTCCCTGGAGATCTCAGAGCTGGTTAGGTGCAGAGGTAAGGATGGAATCTAGCCCACCTGAAGCCCCCCTACCTCACCTCAAGCATTGCACACTTCTGGTCATCCATGTGTGACAGTAAGAAAATGGTAAAAGATGAAGACTTATTGCATCCTTCAACTCCCAGCATATTCCTGTGGCTCCAGCTGGAAGCCATCCCTAGCCCCGCCCCCGGCACATGCTTTCCCCTCTGGGCTGAGCCTACCATGCACATGCTCGGGGTGCTCCCTTCATTGCCTGGTCTGGATTCGGGGAGGTGCCTCTGACTCTGAAGACTCCTGACAATGTCTACGAGCTGTTCCACCAACTCCGCCAGCTCACGCCCAACTTCTGGGATGCTCTTCTGTGCCGCTGCCTTTAAAAGAACAAAGCAGAACCCAAAGCTGGACCCAGGACCCAGCTCTAGACAGAGGGAGCTGTAAACACTACATAAAGGAAGCAGGCAACAGAGTGACAAAAATGTCCAGAGGACAGGAGGTAGATGCCCCAGATCTTTTGCATGCCTACTGATTGTCCAGTGGCCATAACAGGGAACCAGAACCCGTCCCCAGGCTGGGGGGCGGGGTGTGAGAGTGAAGCCTAAAGGGACGTGCGGGCTCATCATTCTGAACAGAGGTCAGAGCAGAGATGCTGAGAGACTGGCAGGGTGGGTGGAGCTGGTAAGGTGAGTGGGGCAGTGGAGGGCATTCAACTGGAGAGGTTGAAGACCCACTCTCACCAGAGTCATCCTGTGTCCTCACCACTCCTTTCAAATTGAAAGTGACCCTCCCTCTTTCTCCTCTTCAACAATGCAGACACTCTACCAGTTTATTGTGCAGGGATCTTGGAGACTTTTTTTTTTTTAAGATTTTATTTATTTATTTGAGAGAGAGAGAAAATGAGAGAGTGCGTGAGCAGGGGAAGGACCAGAGGGAGAGAGAGAATCCCAAGCAGACTCCCCACTGAGTGTGGAGCTCAATGTGGGGCTCGATCCCAGGACCAAGGCAGATGCTCAACCCACTGAGCCACCCAGGTGCCCCAGATGTTCAAACTTTAAAGTGATGCACAGATACAAGCTCCTTTTATTTGATTACTGACATCCTCCAGATTTAGTTTTTACTTTTTAAAAGACTTTATTTTTGGGATGCCTGGGTGGCTCAGTCGGTTAAACGTCTGCCTTAGGCTCAGGTCATGATCCCAGGGTCCTGGAATCGAGTCCCGCATCGGGCTCCTTGCTCAGCAGGGAGCCTGCTTCTCCCTCTGCTGCTCTTCCTGCTTGTGCTCTCTCTCGCTATGTCAAATAAATAAATAAAATCTTTAAAAAAAAAATAAAAGACTTTATTTTTTTAAGTAATCTCTACACCCAACATGAGGCTCAAACTCACAACCCTGAGATTAGGAGTCACATGGTCTTCCAACTGAGCCAGCCAGGTCCCCTGACATCCTGACCATTTAAAGCGACACTCAGACTAGAGGGCGCTAAATAACCCCTTTTAAAGACCTTCATCTGCTCAGCTGCCTGGCTGGGAGTGGAAGTTCTGCTGCCAACATTCTGGCAACTTCCAGATCTGGTGGCACTCATCAGAGGCAGGCAGGGCCCAGACTTAAATGGTGAACATTGCATTACGTCCAAAAGGGGTCCTATACAGAGTCACAGAAATACAACGTGTTCATTATCCAACTGTCAATAAACCAGAGTTTTTATAACTTTTTTTTTTTAAAGATTTTATTTATTTGACAGAGAGAGACACAGCGAGAGAGGGAACACAAGCAGGGGGAGTGGGAGAGGGAGAAGCAGGCTTCCCACCGAGCAGGGAGCCCGATGCGGGGCTCGATCCCAGGACCCTAGGATCATGACCTGAGCCGAAGGCGGACGCTTAACGACTGAGCCACCCAGGTGCCCCTATAACTTTGTTTTGACATATCACATTTTTAAAATCATGCTGGGACCTCAAAAACTGGAAATGACGCAGGACCTTCTGCAACTCTAAGAAGCCTGATGTCCCTCAAAATAGTATGTGTTTTGGAAGCCATAATCAGGCTACTTTAGAGAGGGAGGTAGCCGACCACTGGTAACACCATTTGCTCTTAAATTTCCAGGCCCCACTCCTACTAAATATTCAGGTGGCTGGAACTGAAGAGAGGAGCCCTTATCCTGGCACTGGAGCAAATTAAAAACTTAAAAAAAAAAAAAAAGTATATTGTTTTTTCTATTCATAAAAGAAATGCACACTCATTGCAGTGAATTTAGAAAATGCAAAGCATGAGGGGCACCCGGGTGGCTCAGTCGGTTAAGCATCTAATTTCAGGTCAGGGGACTGAGCCCCAAGTCGGGCTCCCTGCTGAGTGTTGTGTGTGTGGGGGGGAACCTGCTTGTCCCTCTCCCTCTGCTACTCCACCTGCTCATTCTTTCTCAAATAAATAAATAAAATCTAAAAAAAAAAAATGCAAAGCATGAGAAAGAGGGAATGTTTTAAATCATCCAATATTCTACCATCCAAAAACAATCATTCTTACTTAACAGTCAATGGGAAGTATATTCAGTTATCATAAGCAACATTAGCAAAGAGTTTTAAAGACCTGAGGGATAATGCTGTATTTATAATAAAAAAGAAGAAAACAAATTTTAATCATAATCACAAAAAAAAATGGAAGCAACCAATATGTCCCATCAGAATGTGAATGGATAGATTGTAGTACATTTATGTAATGGAATATTTTTCAGGAATAAAAAGAAGTGAGCTATGAAGCCACAAACCATAATTTTGCTTAGTGAAAGAAGCCTATCCGGAAAGGCCAGAAATTGAATGATTCTAACTGTATGACATCCTGGAAAAAGCAAAACTAAAGAGACAGTAAAAAGATCCACAGTTGCCAGGGGTTGGGGTGAAGGTACAAAGAGGTGGAGCACAGGGGATTTTCAGGGCAGTAAAATTGTATGACACCATAATTATAGCTACGTGATATCATGCATTTGTCAAAACCTATAGAACTGTACAACACAGAGTGAACCCTAATATCAACTGTGGGTTTTGGTTTCAACTGGCAATAATCACGCCTTGGATAAACTCATTGGCTACAATACTGCCACCGCGCAAAGCTCAACTACAGATTTTAGTGAATAACGTATTAATGTTGATTCATCAATTGCAACAAATGTACCACACCAATGCAACTGTTAATAGTAGGGCAAACTATGAAGGGCAAATGGGGACTTGCCATACTATCTGCTCAATTTTCTGTAAACTTAGAACTGCTCTAAAATGCTTCTCCCTCTGCCACTCCCCCTGCTTGTGTTCCCTCTCTCGCTGTATCTCTGTCAAATAAATAAAAAATCTTAAAAAAAAAAAAACTGCTCTAAAAAATAAACTCAATTAATTAAAATTTAAAAAAAGAGGATATAACCTGGTTATACAATGTGACCTCAACTCTGTTTAAAAATATTATCGGGGGGTGGGGCGCCTGGGTGGCTCAGTTGGTTAAGCGACTGCCTTCGGCCCAGGTCATGATCCCGGAGTCCTGGGATCGAGTCCCACATCGGGCTCCCGGCTCAGCAGGGAGCCTGCTTCTCCCTCTGACCCTATCCCCTCTCATGCTGTTTCTCTCTCTCTGTCAAATAAATAAATAAATCTTAAAAAAATAAAAATAAAAAATAAATAAAAATATTATCGGGGGCATGCATGGGTGGCCAGTCCGTTAAGCATCTATCTTCGGCTCAGGTCATGATCCCAGGACCCTGGGATAGAGTCCCGCATCCGGCTCCCTGCTCAGTGGGGAGCCTGCTTCTCCCTCTGCCTCTGCCGCTCCCCCTGCTTGTGCTCTCTCTCTCTCTCTCTCTGATAAATAAATAAATAAATCTTAAAAAAAAAAAGAAGAAGAAAGATGTCAAATCAATCACCTAAATTTATACCTCAAGGAACTAGGGAAAAAAGGGCAAACCAAACCCAAAGCTAACAGAAGGAAGGAAATAATAAAGATTATTGGAAATAAATAAAATGGAGAATGTAAAAACAATAGAGAGAATCAATGAAACAAAAGTTGGTTCTTTGAAAAAATCAACAAATTGATAAATCTTTAGCTAGACTGATAAAGAAAAAGAGAGAGGATGGGAAAGCAAGCTGGTGCAGCCACTCTGGAAAACAGTATGGAGGTTCCTCAAAAAGTTGAAAATAGGGGCACCTGGGTGGCTCAGTCATTAAGCGTCTGGCTTCAGCTCGGGTCATGATCCCAGGGTCCTGGGATCGAGCCCCGCCTCAGGCTCCCTGCTCTGCAGGAGGCCTGCTTCTCCCTCTCCCACTCTCCCTGCTTGTGTTCCCTCTCTCGCTGTGTCTCTCTCTATCAAATAAATAAAATCTTAAAAAAAAAAAAAGAGTTGAAAATAGAGCTACCCTATGACCCAGCAATTGCACTACTAGGTATTTACCCCAAAGATACAAATGTAATGATCCGAAGGGGCACCTGCACCCCAATATTTATAGCAACAATGTCCACAATAGCCAAACTATGGAAAGAGCCCAGATGTCCATCAACAGATGAATATATAAAGAAGATGTGGTATATATATATATAATGCAATATTACAACAGCCATCAAAAAAATGAAATCTTGCCATTTGCAATGATGTGGATGAACTAGAGGGTATTATGCTAAGCGAAATAAGTCAATCAGAGTAAGACAATTATCATATGATATCAATGATATGCAGAGTTTAAGAAACAAGGCAGAGGATCATAGGGGAAGAGAAGAAAAATGAAATGGGACGAAACCGGAGAGCGAGACAAACCATATGAGAATCTTTTTTTTTTTTTTTTTTTTTTTTTTAAAGATTTTATTTATTTATTTGACAGAGAGAGAGATAGCGAGAGCAGGAACACAAGCAGGGGGAGTGGGAGAGGGAGGAGCAGGCTCCCCGCTGAGCAGGGAGCCCGATGCGGGACTCGATCCCAGGACCCTGGGATCATGACCTGAGCCGAAGGCAGACGCTTAACGACTGAGCCACCCAGGCGCCCCCCATATGAGAATCTTAATCTTAGGAAACAAACAGGGTTGCTGGGGAGGGAGGGGGATGGGGGTGGCTGGGTGATGGATATTGGGGAGGGTATGTGTTGTGGTGAGCACTGGGTGTTGTGTAAGACTGATGAATCCCTTGGGGTGCCTGGATGGCTCAGTCGTAAGTGTCTGCCTTCGGCTTAGGTCATGATCCTGAGGTCCTGGGATCGAGCCCCACATCGGGCTCTCTACTCAGTGGGAAGCCTGCTTCTCCCTCTCCCACTCCCCCTGCTTCTGTTCCCTCTCTCGCTGTGTCTCTCTGTCAAACAAATAAATAAAATCTTAAAAAAAAAAAAAGACTGATGAATCACAGACCTATACCCCTGAAACAAATAATACATTATATGTTAATTAAAAAAAGAAGAAATGGGGAAAAAAAAGAGAGAGAAGACATGAATAACTAACATCAGAAAGAAAGTAAAGTGGAGACATTACTACTGACCTTACAGAATAACATTTAAGAGATTATGAACTTTGTATGCCAACACATTAGATAACTTACATGAAATGGATAAATTCCTAGAAACACAAATTACCTAAACTGACTCAAAAAGAAACAGAAAATCTCAACAGAGGTATAACAAATAAAGAGATCGAATCAGTAATCAAAATCCCAACAAAGAAAAGTCCAGGACCAGATGGCGTCGCTGGTGAATTCTACCAAATACGTAAAGAAGAATTAATACCAATCCTTCTCAAACTCTTCCAAATCATTGAAGAGGATGGAACACTTCCTAACTCCTCAGTGAGGGCAGCATTACCCTGATGCCAAAGCTAGATAAACACATCACAAGAAAATTACAGACCAATATCCCTTATGAATATTGATGTAGAAATCCTTAACAAAATACTAGCAAACTAAACCCAACAGCATATTAAAAGGATAACACATCATGACCAAGTGGAATTTATCCCAGGAATGCAAGGTGTTCAATTTAAGAAAAACCAATGTGATACACCATATTAACAGGATGAAGGAAACACACACACACACACACACATAAATTATCTCAATTGATGCAGAAAAGACATTTGACAAAATCTAACACCTTTCATGATTAAAAAAAACACTCAGAAAACCAGGAATAGAAAGGAATTTCCTCAAAAAAATAAAGAGAATTTATGAAAAGCCCACAACTAACATCATACTCAATAGTGAAAGACTGAAAGCTTTCCCCCTAAGACAGGGAACAAAACAAGCATGCCTGATTTCACTTCTGCTACCCAAAATTGTACTGGAAGTTTTAGCCAAATCAATTAGACAAGAAATAAAAGGTATCCCAATTGGAAAAGAAGAAGTAAGATGATCTCTACTCACATAGGACATGACCTTATAAATAAAATCCTAAAGAATCCATAAGAAAGCTACTAGAGCTAGTAAATGAATTTAGCTAAGTTGAAGGGCACAAGATCAGCACCCAAAAAGAAGTGTATTTTTATACACCTGCAGTGAACTATCCAAAAAGGAAATTAAGGAAGCAATTCCATTTATAACAACACCTAAAGGAGTAAAATGCCTAGGAATAAATTTAACCAAGGAGATGAAAGGACTTATATTTTTGGAACCTACAGAACATCACTAAAAGAAAGTTAAAAAGACCTAAATAAATGGAAAGACATTTCATGTTTTTGGGAAGAAGACTTAATATTATTAAAGATGTTGTACCCTAGGTGACCTACAGATTCAATGCAATCTCTCTCAAAATTCCAACAGCCTTCTTTGCAGAATGGTAACATTAATCTTCAAATTCATATGGAATTGCAGGAGACCTTAAGAGCCAAAACAATCTTGAAAAAGAAGAACACAGTCGGACGGACTCACACTTTCTGATTTCAAAATTTACTACGAAGCTATAGTAATCACAACAATGTGGTACTGACATAAGGATAGACCAAAAAACCAATGGAATAGAATTAGGAGTCCAGAAATAAACCCATTCATCTACGGCCAACTGATTTTTTATAATGGTGCCAAATCCACTCAAAGTAGAAAACAGTCTCCTCGACAAACAGTGCTGGGACAGCTAAATTTCCACATGCAAAAGAATAAAGTTGGACCCCTACCTCATGCCATATAGAAACATTAACTCAAAATGGATCAGCAATCTAAATGTAAGACCTATTACCATTAAACTTTTGGGTGAAAATACGGGGGTAAATCTTTATGAACTCAGAATTCGGCAATGGATTTAGATATGATGCCAGAAGCAAGAGCAATAAAAGAATAGGTAAATTGGACATCAGCAGAACTTAAAACTTTTATGCATCAAAGGACACAATCAAGAAAGTAAAAACAACCATAAGATGGGGGAATATATTTGCAAGTCATATATCTGATAAAGGTTTAATATCCAGAATTTATAAAGATTTCCTAAAACTCAACAAGAAAGGGCACCTGGGTGGCTCAGTCGGTTAAGGATCTGCCTTCGGCTCAGGTCGTGATCCAGGCCTGCATGGGGGGGGGGTCCCTGCTCCGCAGGGAGTCTGCTTCTCCCTCTGCCCCTCCTCCCACTCATTCTCTCAATCTCTCTCTCTCTGAAGTAAATAAAATCTTTTTTTAAGATTTTATTTACTTATTTGATTTGATACTTATTTGATTTACTTATTTTTAAGATTTTATTTACTTATTTGACAGAGACACAGCGAGAGAAGGAACACAAGCAGGGGGAGTGGGAGAGGGAGAAGTAGGCTCCCCAATGAGCAGGGAGCCCAAAGGCAGATGCTTAACAACTGAGCCACTCAGGCGCCCCTGAAATAAAATCTTAAAAAAAAAAACAACTCAACAAAAAAAAGACAACCCAATTTTGAAAAATAGTCAAAGGACCTGAATAAACATTTCTCCAATGAAAATATATAAATGAGCAATAAGCACATGAAAAGATGGTCAGTCAACATCATCAATCTCAGGGAAATGCAGACCAAAACCACAGTGAGAAAGCACTTCACTCCTAATGGGAAAGCTATCCTAAAAAAGTGGCAGGAGGGGGGGAATCAAAATAAAATGAAAAATAACAAGTATTGGCAAGGATGTGGAAAAATCGGCAACTCCTACTTTGCTGGTGGAAATGTAAAATGTTGTAGCTGTTTTGGAAAATGGTTTGGCTGTGTTCCTCAATAAGTTGAACATAGAACTCCCATACCACTCAGTGAGTCCACGCCTTAGGTATTTACCCAAAAGAACTGAAAATAAGGACTTAGTTACGTGCACACCAATGTTCCTGCATCGTTACTCAGTCACCAGAAGGTGGAAACAATCTGAATGTCCATCAGTGTATGAATAGATAAACAAAATGTGGTACATTCATACAATGGAATATTATTCAGCCACCAAAAGGAACAGAATTCAGGTGCATGCTACAACATGAATGAACCCTGGAAACTCGGTAAGTGGAAGAAGCCAGACACAAAGGGACAAATACTATATGATTCCACTCACATGAAATATCTAGAGTAGGCAAATCATGGAGACAGAAAAGACTGGAGGTTACCAGGGGCTGCAGGGAGTTGGAATGAGAAGTTATTGCTTAAGGGGTGCAGAGTCTCTGTGGTGATGGCCTTGTGGCAACAGAAACTGGTGACAGCTGCACATCACTGAGAATATAACTAATGCCACTAAATTATACACATAAAAAACGGCTGAAATGACGAATTTTATGCTGTATCTTACCTCAATGTAAGAATGTTCAGAGACAGAGGAAAGACTGGAAAGAAGTGGAAATGTGCCAAGAAGTAGCTAGAGCAGCCAGGCTGATTGGATGTCAGGAGACTAGGGTTCCCCCCGCCCCCAGCTTCTTCATACTTAGAAGCGGGAGTGCTCAGAGTGACACCAGCCCTGCGAGAGCAGGAAGGCCGGGCCGGATGCGAGGAAGAGCCGCTGCGCCTTCCTACCGGCTGCTGGGCGGCGCGACCCGGGGGCGCGGGCGCAGGCGCGGAGGGGGCGCGGGGCGCAGGGCGCGGGGCGGGGGAGGGCGCGGGGCGGGGCCGGGACCGTCCGTCACCTCGCGCAGCGCCCGGCTGTACTTGTCCACCAGCTCCTGCAGCAGCGTGTTCTTCCGCAGTTGCAGCGGCGCCGGGGCGCTCTCCCGGCAGGTGGGGCAGGAGCGCGGGGGGCTGGCGCTACCCGCGGCCCACAGGCCCTTCAGGCATTCGCGGCAGAAGCTGTGGCCGCAGGGCAGCGTAGCGGGCGTGGCGAGCAGCCCCTGACAGATGATGCAGCCCAGGTCGTCCTCGACCAGCCACACGGGGACGGCCGGGCCGGGATCCAGTCCCGCCATGGTGACCAGGCCGCCCCGCCGGACGCCGGGGCGCGGAAGTCAGGGCCTCGTCGGGGACCGCCCGCTCGCGGCAACGTCTCCTCCGGCTCCTCCCCCGGCCTTCCTCTCCCCGCCTCGGCCCACCCTTTTTTTCCAGTGTCCTGTCCCGCTGAAAGCGGACTTTGAGCCTCCCCCTACCGGCGCGGGCGCCCTAGGTCAGAGCTGGCCGGAGTCAGAGCCTCCTGCGCGGGGAGATCAGCTCGCCCCCAAACGATAGGAGCCCGCTGATGTCCCAAAGACCCTTTAGCTTGATGCCTCCCCCCCCCCCCCCCACCGCACACACCTTGGCCTATTAAAACGCAACCCCGACAGCCGTTGAGAGAAGAAGAAAGAGAGGGTTCGGTTCAAGAACTTTTTTTATGAGAATGCGCCCACTAGATGTCATCCAGCCACTCCAGCAAGTAAAGGATTAAAGAATACCCGGTGCACATAACTCTTTAAAAATACCGATGCTGGGGCTTGGCTCCCAGAGAATCTGATTTCATCGTCTGGGGTGGAGCCCGGCGCCGGGATTCTTAAAAAACCTCGCCGGGGTGATACTAACGCGCAGCCAAAGTTGAGCGACCGCTAGACTTTTCAAACAGCTATTACAATGCAGAACTGTGCCACCGTCTCCTTACTGCTCTCTGCTGGCTGAAAGCACATTATCCAACAGGCATCCGGACAAAAATACTGGAGTCTGTTTTCTTGAGGTCGCGCGCCTTGGGCTCGCTCCCTTCCTCCTCTCCTCTTATTCCAGTCCCAAGCTCATTACAGCATGAAAACGTTGGAGCTGGAAGAGCATCACATCCTCCCCAAAGCCCCAAAGAGGCAAGGGAACTTTCAGGTTTACACAGCAGTAACTGAGTGGCAGAGACCAGAACCCCCTACCTCTCTGTTGAAATGAACTAACGATATCTCATATTTTATTTCACCCCATCTTGCCTGGCCCCGAAGTAGGTAATAGATAATACAAACTTGTGGCTATTTCCAATACTGGAAATGACAAGTAGTGTTCAATAGAACTACCTGTTAGTCTACTCTTTGAAGTTTCCAGCTCTTTCCAGCATCTGGTGGGATTGGCGCTTCTCTGACCCACTTGAAACATGCAGAATACTTGTTACCTTTCCACCAGCTTAAAAAGCTAGTGAGTAAGTCGTTGTATCCCTTTCTGCCAAATGCCCTGACTATGGAGTTGAAGCCATCATCTGGTGGCCTGGGTTTCTGAGTGGCGAAGATGAGCAGACCCCCTGCAGACCCACACTAGAACATGTAGTAAAAGAGGAAAATGAACTTGAGATATGTTAAGCTTATGGAAGTTTAGTGGGTGCTGTGGCATCAGCATAACTTAGCCTATCCTGATGTATTACCTGGATTTTGTTCCCAAGTGTCCTCATTGGTGGTAAACTGTTTCGCCAATGCCTCTCTTTTCTGAAATACAGGCAAAATACCAAAGACACATGCTTACGTTTTCCATCTTAAAATATAAAATCTCCTTTAATAGAAGCACCCCTCTAGCCACGTCTCCTTCTCTATTAGACACCCAAGTTTCTTGAAAGAGTAGATTAACCAGTGGTCTTCAAACTTTTTCTTGGACAATTCCTAAAAGTTTCATGCAAAAGCATGCAGTGGTTACCAGAAAGGGGGTAGGGGTGGAAATAGCCCTAGGGGTAAAAATACATGAAGGAGTTCTTCATTTACACTGGAAATTTTCTCATTCTTTCATCTTCTTGAATTTGCATTTCTATTCCACATTCTCTAGGGAACTATGTTCTTCCTTTTCTATGTTTTGGAATAGTTTGAGAAGAATAGGTATTAACTCTTCTTTAAATGTTTTGTAGAATTCAGGATGCCTGGGTGGTTCAGTCGGTTAACCCTCTGCCTTTGGCTCAGGTCATGATCCCAGGGTCCTGGAATCGAGCCCCGCATCAGGCTCCCTGCTCAGCTCCCTCTGCCTGCCTCTCCCCCTGCTGATGAGCGCTCGCTCTCTCTCTCTCTGACAAATAAAATCTTAAAAAAAAAAAAAGAGGGGCTGCCTGGGTGGCTCAGTCAGTTAAGCGTCTGCCTTCAGCTCAGGGTCCTGCTTCTCATTCTGCCTCTGCCTCTCTATCTCTCCTGAATAAATAAATAAAATCTTTAAAAAAAAATACAATACTCTTAAAAGAGAGAGAGATGGGGAGCAGGAGCAGGAGGGGCAGAAGGAGAGGGAGAATCTCAAGCAGACTCCATGGCTGAGCACAGAGCCTGACTCGGGGCTCGATCTTAGGATCATGAGATCATGACCTGAGCGGAGCCCAAGAGTTAGACGCTTAACCAACTGTGCTACCCAGGTGCCCTCCCAAAGGAATTTTTATAGGTTAAAGTAGACTTGGATCCTGGGGTTTGGGCTAAGATTGCCTTTTGCCCTTAACAAAGTACTAACCTTGAGGCAGCTGAATTCCTAGAGGAAGGTCACTCTGCCTCTTTAAAGGTGTTGTCAATGGGCTGTAAATAGTAAGGAAATTTAATTTTTCTTTTGCCTTTGTTTCCCACATCATTGGAGTTTTGTTTGTTGGGAGTTTTTTTTAGTACTGATTCAATTTCTTTGCTGGCTATAGGTCTGCTCAAATTTTCTATTTCTTCCTGTTTCAGTTTTGGTAATTTATATATTTCTAGGAATTTATCCATTTATTCTAAGTTTTCTAATTCCACAGAATGATATTCTAAGACAATCTATTTTATGCATGAAAGTCTTATCACTTTGTAATCACTTTTATCAATTTGTAATAATTCTCTACAATAAAAATATGTATATATGTTGAAATTTTAAAAGTTTTACTTCCTATAACAAAAAGTCTCTTCTTAAACTTTTCTTCCAGATTGATTTATCATTTAAATTATTATTAGCAGGCAGGGCACCTGGGTGGCACAGTCAGTTAAGCGTCCAGCTCTTGGTTTCCACTCAGGTCATGATCTCAGGGTCATGAGATCCAGCCCCGAGTCAGGCTCCGTACTCAGCTCAGAGTTGGCTTGGGTTTCTCTCTCCCTTTCCCTCTGCCCCTCCCTGCTCATGCTCAGTCTCAAATAAATAAATAAATATTTTAAAAACTTATTATTAGCAGTCAATCAAAACAAGTATAAGTTTATATAAATAATTAGTAAACAAAAAGTCAAAATTGTATTGGAATTACAGCTCTTAATGAGATGGATGGGCTGGTTTCTTTTAAAAACAATCTGTGGATGAACATTACTTTTTTCTCCAGCTTTACTGAGATATCTCAATTGACATATAACATTGTCTCTAAGTTTAAGATGTACAATATGATGATTTATGATGATTTATTTAATGCACATACATATTGCAAAATGATTACCATAAGGTTAGTGAACACCTCCATCATTTCACATAATTACCTTTTTTCGAGGCTGATGAGAACATTTAAGATGTACTCTCTTAGCAACTTTCAAATATATAGAATAGTAAGCAACAGTCACCATGCTGTACAATAGATGCCCAGAATTTATTCATCCTATAAGTGGAAATTTATACTCTGTCCTACATCTCCCCATTTTCCCCCACTTTCCAGTCCCTGGCAACCACCATTCTACTGTGCGTTTCTGAGTTCAGCTTTTTTAGATTCCATGTGTGAGATCGTACAGTATTTGTTTTTCTCTGTCTGATATATTTCATTTAGCATAATGCCCTCAAGGTGTGTGAGTGTGTGTGCGTGCGTGTGTGTACATTTTCTTTATCCATCCATCCATTAATGTAGACATAGGCTGTTTCTATGTCTTGGCAATTGTGTATTATGCTGCAATGAACATGGGGTGCAGACAGCTCTTTGAGACCGTGATTTCGTTTCCTTCAGATATATACCCAGAAATGAGATTACTGGATTATATGGTAGTTCTATTATTTTTTTTTTTATTTTTATTATGTTCTGTTAATCACCATACATTACATCATTAGTTTTAGATGTAGTGTTCCATGATTCATTGTTTGTGCATAACACCCAGTGCTCCATGCAGAACGTGCCCTCTTTAATACCCATCACCAGGCTAACCCATCCTCCCACCCCCCTCCCCTCTAGAACCCTCAGTTTGTTTTTCAGAGTCCATCATCTCTCATGGTTAGTCTCCCCCTCAGATTTCCCCCCTTCATTCTTCCCCTCCTGCTATCTTCTTCTTCTTCTTTTTTTAACATATATTGTATTATTTGTTTCAGAGGTACAGATCTGTGATTCAACAGTCTTGCACAATTCACAGTGCTCACCATAGCACATACCTTCCCCAATGTCGATCACCCAGCCACCCCATCCCTCCCACCCCCCACCACTCCAGCAACCCTCAGTTTGTTTTGTGAGATTAAGAATTCCTCATATCAGTGAGGTCATATGATACATGTCTTTCTCTGATTGACTTATTTCGCTCAGCATATCTATTATTATTTTTTGATGAACCTCCGTAACTGTTCTCCACAGTGGCTGCACCAATTTACATTCCCACCAGGAGTGCCCAGGGGTTCCCTTTTCTCCTCATCCTGGCTAATACTTGTTATCTCTTATCTTTTTGATAGCTATTCTTACAGCGAGGTGATATCTCATGGGTGTTTTGATTTGCATTTCCCTGATGATTATGATGTTGAGCACCTTTTCATGCACCCATTGGTCATTTGTACATCTTCTTTAGAAAAATATCTATTTAGGTCTTCTGCCCATTTTTAAATTGTATTGTTTGGGTTTTTGCTATTGAGTTATTTGAGAGATGAATATTACTTAACAATAGAATAAATTATATTCCTATTTTTTGTTTTTATAAATGTTAGTGCTGAGGAACCTTGTCCACATATATAAATGACAACAATGTCACACATTTTGTTGAATACTTTCTGAGATCAAAAAAAAAAATCACACAGTGATCCATCATCAGAAATTACTTAGTAATCTCTCAGCTGACCAGATTGATTTGATTTTCCTTCAATATTTCTTGAGCACAAAGAATTTGAAACTACCTGTATTTCAAAAATCATTAGAAGTACTTGCTTTCTTGGGGTGCC